ATCATCATCATCATCATCATCATCATCATCATCATCATCATCATCATCATCATCATCATCATCATTGTATTATTATCATCAGCAACATGTTTTATTTCTTGTCAGTCAATCCAGTTATTTTTGCATGCATGCAGGTCCCAGCTGGCATCGCTCCCAACAACCTTAACTTTTTCTAACTAGGAGATCGAAGTTTAGTACAGTGGTTTTCTTTTAATTAACTCTAACTTTGAAAGTCTATGGATTTCCATATTTCCTTCCCCCCCCCCCCTTACTTGAACATTTTCTCTAATCCCTGGGTAGTTTTATTTTCATTTCAAATACATTTTATTTCCTGTGCAATCATGCAGATGATTTGATCACTGTTTGGAAGCAACAAAAAATCAATATTTAAGGTTTTGATGATCGCATAGCAGGAAAGTAGCACTTCACTGTACCTGTTTAAAGCAGTCAGATCTGGTATATCTGCCCTCTGCAGCTGTCATGGGAAACAATTGGCAAACAATGTGGCTGCTTGAACAGGTGTAGACAAATGCTACATCTGTATTCTTACATATTCAACCTCATGAAAGAAGTGAATGAGGAGGTAGAAAAACACTAATAGGTCTACTAACTGCACAGAGAACGTTAATGTCATTGATGAATATTGCATTCATCAACTCATCTATTCTTTAGTGAAAACTATTCATAATAGCTGAATGGGATTCTAATAGTGAGCTCTATTCGTGAAGAATTTTCCATCCTCTTCATCAGACCAACTTTTGTTGTCATAGAATGAATGAGAAATCCTGAAATACCTTTGGAAACGTTTCAATTCCAGTTGTTGCGGAAGTATTGTATCAATGTTCACACTTGTGCATCTTAGTGCTCATGTAGTTTACGAATTATGGATGTGATTAGGTTGATATTCAAAAAGTAAACAGGTCAAGTCTGAGTGTGCATCTGTTTATATGCTCTCCTCTGCTGGTACTGTGCAACCTATTTTGGAGCATTGTTTTTAATTGACTTATAAATGCATGAAAAGTCCTATTCTTTAACAAAAGCAGTATGACTTAGAATATACCTCTTACTGCAGGTTTTTCCTACAGAATTACCAACATGTCCTAGCTCTGATTTTTGCTGTAAAGGAGATCAATGAACGTTTCCTTATTTTACCTAACATAACTTTGGGAATTCAAATTGCTGATAGCTATTTCATGGCAAGAGGGACCACCTTTGCTTCAACTGAGCTTCTCTCCACACAGGGCAGACTGATCCCTAACTATAAGTGTGACAGCAAGGACAAGGCAATATCTGTTATTGCAGGACCTAACTCTCACGTCTGTTCCTTAATGGCAAACATCCTGAATGTCTACAAGATGCCACAGGTAAGTTCTGCTTAAGAAAGAGAGGAAGGAAGGAAGGAAGGAAGGAAGGAAGGAAGGAAGGAAGGAAGGAAGG